AGTGATTGAGAAAAAACTCTTATAACTTTGAGATAATCATCCGGATGAGTGATCACGGTTAAATCCTTAAGAATCGACAGCTCGATTAGAGAGTCTCCCAAACAGAATCGCCATCAAACTTGATCCGCTCTATATATATAGTCTTGAAATAAGGTAAAGAAACTAATTATGATTCTTGATGAACAAAGACAACACAGTAGACAGTGAAATCCACCAAAGTTGCTCATGAATAGAGCGAGAGAAGCATCCTAACTAAGGCTCCAAAGACTCGACAAAACGCTAGTGTGAACCAAATCCTTGGTAGAGAGTTCAAAGAGGATCCGACATAACAAATGACACGGTTAAGATGGGTTAAGCGGTTCTCCCATGGTTAGAACCTCTCTAAACACCTTTTTAAGCATAAGGATCGTATCAAAACGAAATTCTCTGGGAAAGATAGGTTATGCGATTTACTGTGTCATTTGTGATGTCGGATCCTCTCTGAACTCTCCACCAAAGATTCGGTATGCACTAGCATTTTGTTAAGTCGGTGGAGCCTTAGTTAGAATGCCTCTCTCGCTTTATTCATGTGCAACACTGGTGGATTTGACTCTCTACTGTTTCGTCTTTGATCATCTAGATTCAAAACAGTTTCTTCACCTTGTGTCAAGACTATGTATTTAGAGGGGGTTAATTAAGCTTGATGGCCATTCCGTTTTGGAGACTCTCATATCAAGCTTTCCGGTTCTTGAGGATTTAACCGTGATTACGCATCCAATGATTATCTCGATGTCTTACGTATTCGTTCTCAATCACTGAAAAGCATCTAGATTCTCAGCGTCTCGAGTGCGATGATCTGATATTGAAATTGATGCTCCAAGTCTTGAGTATATGACTATGTGAGTATTAGTGATTACTAACCTAAAAGCTTTATAACACCTAGTATTGGTAAACGTTGATGTTGAGTTTGGTGTCGTGTATGATGATCCACTGGAAATGACTAAGCTCCATAATTTTCTCATCGGGATATATATCCACAATTCACAAAGTGGCCATATCTACTCGAACTCTACAAGTACAATTACTTTCTTTACTTTTATACACTGGCCATCCATAGCTATTCCATGGTGGAACCGTTGCCTCCATTTTCTAACTTGTCTCGCTTGGATGCTTTGTTAGTTGAATCTTTTTGGGAAGTTTTACCAGTCTTTCTTGGTTGCTTCATGAATCTAGATTCGCTCGTCCTAGTGTGTTTTGTTTGCTTATGTTCTTTTTTTTTTTTGTCAACAGCTATATTAGATTGACTCAGATGTGCCAATGTGGAGGAATATTGTTTACATAGGTGATAAGATGCGGTTGCGTACGTACGAACTGTTCGAGCCAATTTATCCGCTTTCACATTTGCAATGTTCGAGCCAACTGTTCGTCCTACTGTTTTTTGTTTGCTTATGTTCATTGTAATTACATTGAGATAAAAAAAAATTATTTCACCTAAAAACTAAATTGAAATTCGATTATGATATAATTTTTTGGATTGTAAACTTTTATTTCCATTAACTGAAACCTAATCGTCAACTCTATTGCGTTCATGGCTATTTGTTCCATCTACGTAAGACTCTAAAACCTTCTTTTTTTCTTGGTATGAAGACTCATTTTTGGTTTTCATTTTAAGAAGACTTGGACTTTAGATTTTATGGATATTTACAAACTTAATTGTTGTATTTTATTTTATTTTGCCAACAACATGCATTAAATGAGAAGTTGAATTCGTGTGGTATCAGCGTAATAACAATTGCACCAATTCCAAAACGATATTTCCAAGTCAACTTTCATTAATCTCTTAAATGTTCTAATTTGAGAGAAAAGTGTGACTAACAAAGTAAATTTATTCCTCAATTGTTTTAACATTTAGGAGTAATTTGTTTTGATACATTCCTTATCCTATAAGGAATATTTAAATAAAAATGTTTATGTCCAAGTCTTCTACTGATAACTATTTTTTAAAAAAAAAATGAACAATGACGAATGGAACATAAAGTTTTGTGGAATGAACAGTAAAATTACTGGAAAATATAATAAAATAAAACATTATGATAAATAATAACCAAACAAAAACAATATTTTAAAAACTATATATTAAATAATTAAGAAGTCAATCTCTAATGAATAAAGAGAATAATATCTTATAATAATTAATAAGATTTTATTAAATATTGTTATGAATAATCTATTTCATAGTCTTTTCGAAGACATTCGATAACAAAATCAATTTCATAAATAATTGAAACCGAAATTATTAATATTATTATTTTTATTATATAAAATTTTAAGTTATATATGAAACATATCCAGAAACATTAAAATCAATAAATACATATGAATGGAGTTTGAGCGTACTTGCGCTTTCTTTAATCACCATATCCATCTAGGACCTATATCCTATTTCTCGGCACAACAAATTCGGATCCCGAATATTTTGACCATATTTAGTTTATCGGGTTTTTTTTAGCTATCTATAAATTTCATGGATCCAATTACAAACACAAAACAAAAGATGACAATTAAAACACAATTAATTGAACATGAGAAAAATAGTCAACCGGAGGATATCCAATTAAAACATCAACTAGATAAATAAATAGAAATTGTAAATGTTCTAATACTGGCACATACCTTTTCGATGAATAATAACGTAATTCGAGGGGAAGAGACGATATGCTTTCCACGGGCCGATCATCCGATTCACTCCAAGAGAGAGGCATTTTATTCGATACGATCTTAGTCTCATAGATTCTCATCTAATGTAATCAAAGATGTTTATACTTTGTTTCTAAGATACAGCGGCGCAAGTACCAGAAAACAGTTTAGAGAGTTTGTGAAGCTATATATATACAAATGAAATTAACCTAAGAAAGGATTAAGACACATTTAAAACGACATCGTATCGAGTAGTGGTGCCCATTAAGAGTTAATAGGCCCATAAATTAAACATGTTAAAATTCTTACCAGATGAATATCAATAGGGAAAACGGCCTTTTTCAACCTCAACTATTTGCTGGCGGGTTTTTCCAACCCAAACTATGATCCCTAGTCGATTTCAACCCGAACCCAAAAATAATACAAAATCAAAACCTAAACTAATGTAAATGAGCCGATTTCAACACGACGTGAAACAATGTTAGTTCGGAAGTTAACAGTTCTCAAAGTTATTTGATTTTATTTTCAGGGTTTGATGAATGTTGTAGAGAGAGAATTACCCAAGGTTGAGTAACCGTTAATTTTCGAACTAACACCGTTCCGCGTCGTGTTGAAATCGGCTAATTTGCATTAGTTCGAGTTTCGATTTTGAATTAATTTTGGGTTTGGGTTGAAATCGACTAGAGGTAATAGTTTGGGTTGGAAAAACCCGCCTGCAAATAGTTGAGGTTGAAAAAGGCCGTTTTCCCAATATCAATACTATGCACATGTTTCTTGTTTTCTAAAAACAATTATAGTATTAAATGCTTTTGTTGACCATTTTGTTAAAAATGAAATAATATTAATTTTTTCTCTACATGAATTTTATATATTTATATAATATATAATATTCATAGAATGAGTATATTCTGTTTCCCAATTTCTAAATTATCAAATAAATTACATGAGTATATAACCTATTATTAAGGCCACTTGATTTTTTTGGTACTTCAAATTTTAAATAAATATTTCTAACTTATTATTTTTATATTTTTTGTTCTTACAATTTGATTAAATCTTTATATTATTAAAAGAGAAAATTTATTGTATTTTAATATTTTATAAATATGAGAATATCATAAATGTGATTTTTCTCAAAATTTATTAATGTGTTTTATATAATAAAATGTTGATGACTTCGAAAGTTTCAAATCTTTAGAGTTAGAGTTGCACTTAACTTATATATGAATCTCATACTAATTAGAGTTGCACTTAATTTATATATTAGACTATTATTTTCTAATCTTGCCATGTGTGATGTTTGTTTGTTTCCCATACATAGACTATAGATTTAAATAATAAAGAAAAATCTGACGAAGTAACTACTCTTTCTAAATGCACATAATCGTTCACGGGGCTCATATATAGAAAAATTCTCAAATTACATGATCTAGTATCCACTTTCTTTTGTCGGAGATATAGAATGGAGTAGATACTCTTTTTGGCAGGATAATTGGAATATTACATGATGACTTTTGGAATTCACAAGTGCAGTCCACACTGTTGTCGAGTAGCTGCATATAAAGAACATATGGTCCCTTGTTTCTATGTGATTTTGACATAAGACACAAGTGGACATTGAACATGTATTCCAGCTGAGAAGACGATTCCTCTTTAAAAAGTCGATTTTTCATCGCAAGGCGCTAATATAAAAGGAGTATTTTGGTGTCGCATGAGTGAACCATACTCCCTTGTATCACACAACTTTGTTCGATGTTGTCCGAATGTGGTTCCAAGTGTCTTTCGTTGAGAAAGAACTTTCTAAGAATCCCCCTTACCTACCTCGCCACTGTTGTTCAAGTGCATTCTCTATTAAGTTCAAATTTTCGACCAGTGTCTTCTTCTTCTCCGAGATCTTCATGCCTCGGGGAAGGATTCCTTCCAGTCCCCAAATCTATGACGCCTCTAGGACTAGTCATGTGCATTAGCATTAGGCATCCGAGTGTAGACCAGTTATCATACCAGAATGAGATGAAGGCCCCATTCCTTGCTTCACTCTTGCAAACGTTTTTGCCACTTCCCTATATTCGCCATATCCACGACCCCGAACTCGTATTTTCCTGAATAGACCAGAAGGATTCTCTCTTCAGCAAATAAGTTGTAACCAACTTTACCCACAGTGAAGAGCCATGAGAGACTACTCTCCATATCAGTTTCAGACAAGATACATCATTCGCTGGCTCTCATGAAGAGGGAGCATTGTTCCAATGTAGACCAAGAAGATTGAAGTAACAAAATTCATCGATCACCATAACACAAGAATGAATCACCGGAAGACGAAAAGAAGCTTCGCATAAAAGAGATTGTATTAATTCATATAAAAAAAAATTGGTACAAGAAAATAACAAATAGTGATTATTCGATTTTGCGTACTTCTATATACAAACAACGCCTATGGAATTGTAAAAAGAAAACAACAGAACTTAAAATCTCACAGCTTGTGGCTCCTCTGCTTCTCCAGCTTTCAAAAAAGCTGAAACATTAAACATAATTAGCTTCTCTATCTTTCTCATTGTTTTGCATCTATGGATTCTTAGTTTACTTACCTCTCTTCTTAACCTTGTTCCTAAAACCTCTCTTCCTGCTGAATGCAGTTTCCTGAATATTCATATACCATATTACAAGAATGAATCATCAGAAGGAATATGCTAATGTTCATGAGAAAATAATATTGCGGATTCTAGTACGGAAGATAAAACAGAATTGAGATCATGGGAGTTTCATAGAATTTATACCACTGGCTGGCCCATCTTCACTGCTTCACGGATTGCTTCTACTAAATCACGGTTAGCCTCGGTGTATAGACTGGTCACTGTTCCATATTGCCCAGCTCTAGCTGTTCGGCCTATCCTGTGAAGGAAATCCACTGCAGAACTAGCAAAATCCGCCTGCAATCACCTCCGAGAATGTTCACTATGGTTTTAGAAAGCCGAGCACTTTGAAGAGGGTGTTTGTTGAAATTAGAAAAGAAACCTGAATAACGTGTGAGACATTAGGAACATCAACTCCCCGGGCAGCGGCATCGGTGCAAACAAAGACACCGCCGGTTTCTCTGAAATCAGCTAATATATTAGCACGTTCGTCTAGCTTGTGGTTCTTGTGATAACGATAACACTGAATACTAGCTTTCTCCAATATATCAGCCACTGCTTCAACAGCTTCGACCGTGTTTGCAAACACCATTGTCCTCTCTGTGTTGGTGTTGTTATTGTTTTTTACAGCCTCTATAAGAGCATCAACCTGTGAGTCTACTGTGACTTCAACCCATTTTTGCTTTAGTCTGCAACATAGCAAAGACAAGAACAAAATCTGAGTTTAAGTGGCTTACAAAACAAAATTCTACTTAATTGATCAAGAAAATCAGATTCCCAATGTTATGAACATCAAAGCAATGGCTTCCAACCAAGAGCTTATAATCATTTTCTATTCCCAGTTAGCCCTCTATATATTCAAAGGGGTGAGTGATGCGCAGTACTTCAACGAAGATAAAAGAGAGAAGGTTTCACCTCGGACTGTTTCGGTGAAGAAAGTTTCCACTAACCCAAATAGCATCTTGAAACATATGTTTCAAAATTCCTCCGGCAGTCTTCTTCCCGTTAACTGGAAGTGTGGCTGCAATGAAGATATACTGCTTACTGCGGCTATAGATCTTTCTCACTCTCCTCCAGCCCTTTTTGGTGTCTGACCCAGCTTCAGCTTCAACACTAGGCATATGTGCTGTATCATCAATATGTTCCTCTTCCTCTTCCTCTTCCTCGGAAATAGATCCATCATCGAATTCAGCATCATCCTCATTTTCTAGATCAATTTGGGGTACAGAGGCATCAATCTCCATTGTTTTGCCAATTGTGGATGTAGCCAAACGAGACACTTGTTTCTCATCGAAACGCAGCATATTTATCAGACGAATAATCTGATTCTGGAAGCTTCCGCACAGAAGCATATCAGCTTCATCAAAGACCTGCAAGTGATCCAAACATTCAAAAGGAAATCTACAATTCCAAAATTGCTCAGATAACAAAACTACACAACTCTAAGCAAGAAAACCATACCACATATTTGACTGATCGCAGAAATTCCAGACGTCTATTTCTTTTTGGCTCAATATTATTCAGAAGAGCGGCAGGTGTCGAGACAATTATATCAGGCAGTCTATCTGGCCAACCCTGCAGCAAATACAACTTTCATATTCAGCTATATTCAAAACACTTACAAAGGAACACAGCTCTTCTGAATAGGTATTAGGTATTACCTGGGCTCCGCAAACAGCTTCTACTCTAAGAAGTGGATTACCATCTTCACCAAGAAGACCATTAACCATCCTAACCACTTGTTCACACAACATCACATTTGGACACAGGATAAGAGACAGATTCTTAAGCGGAAACGGCCTTTCCTCTCCATTCGTATACTCGGAATCAAGAGCGGTGTTCGTTAATCGATCAATTATTGGAGCAAGATATCCATGTGTTTTACCACTACCGGTTTCTGCTGCAACAATCACATCTTTCCCAGACAATATAGACGGTATACAAACAGCCTAACAAGTAAAAAACAGTAGAGAATCAGATTCACAATCAAACAAGTGATTTTCTTTGAACTTAGTAGTAAAAAAGGTTCCTTTTTTTTCCTTCCACTACATAAAAACAGGAACTTTAACTTATCATTTGACAATCAACAAATGCTTCTCTAAGTTCTAACTTTGATTTCACTAAATTTGAAAACTTACCTGAGTAAGAGATGGTCTATCGAACCCAGAATCTCGAAGAGCTATAGAGACGTTATCTGATAACCCAAGAGACTTCCAAGAAACGGTATTGTCAGCAAAAAACGTATCATTACCCTTTTTCTCTACTTCTGCTTCAGTAGTAGACGCAAACCCACGAACCCATTTCGCGTCAGATCGATTGAGAGAGTTTAAACGGAAAGAAACAGATGAACAATAAGCGAGAGCGAACGAGACCTTGAACCTCTGAGATAAGAGCTTCGACGGCGCTGAAGATGAGACTCCACACAAATGAAGCACAGAGACAGAGCGTGAGAGAATCATCGGATTCCACAAATCAAAGTTTCATAAAGAAAAAGAAAAAAGCAATCAGATTTTATCACGGCGGATAAGATTGGAGAAAACCTAATCCAAATGAGGTTTTAGGGTTTAAGCAAAATGAGATTTCAGACAAGAAAGAAGAAACCTCTGTTTTCAGTCTCTTCATTAGCTCACTCAGGAAGAAAACGACGACGTATTAGCCTATTAGGCAATTAGTTTGCTGAGGAAGGAAACGACGACGTATAGGCTTTGTTAAGTGACTTGAGTCGTTTCTTTGTCCCACATCGTCTTAAGTTAAGATAACTTGTGTTGTTTATATATCATCAGAGATCATCATTGGTCACGACCTTACTTGAACAGGATCTGTTCTATAGGCTCGTACCTCTGTTTCCTTGATTTCTAAGGAGACAGGCCCTTAAACCTGGTTGATGAATCAAAGCCGTGTGACCTGAGTGTGATTGACGGCGGATCGTCTCTTCGGAGCCCCTCTGCTGTAGAGGATCGCTACCTGGTTAGGTCTTCTTCCTATCTGGGGTGGTCCCACGGTTGTCTGACAGGCTATCTTTTTTTTTTGACACAGTTTTTTTCCGTAAGTGTGTTCCGATTCTGGTATAGAGCTAGATTCTTAGGCAATTAGTTCGTTGAGTAAGGAAACGACGACATATTGTTATTAGGCTTTGTTTAGTGACTTTTTAATTAACTTGTTTTCTTTGTCCCACACCGACTAAAGTAGAGATAAGTTGTGTTGTTTATATATTGGTAGAGATCACAAGTGGGCACGACCTTACTTGAACAGGATTTGTTCTATAGGCTTGTACCTCTGTATCCTTGGTTTATAAGGAGACAGGACCTAAAACCTGGTTGATGAATCATATGACCGTGCAATCTTAGTGTGATTGACGGGGTTAGAGGTTCTTTAGGGTCTCTGTGATCTTAGATCTAAGTCTGATTGACGTAAGTCTGATCGACGAATCGAGCAAGTTTAGAATCTCTTCGCTGTCGATGGTCGCCACCCGGTTAGGTCTTCCTCTCCGGGGTGGGTCGCGCGGTTGTCTGACAGGTTAACTTTTTTTAGTCACCTCAAATATCTTTGGTTTCTCCTAAATTTTTAGAGTATTAATGCTTCTGATTCGTTTTGTGCAGTGTGATCCTTTTTCAATGACATCAGTTTAGGTTGACTATGTCATGTATCCTTTGAAATTACTGAAAATTTTGAGGACTCTTGGTACTTGTGTGTTCTTATAAACATTTAACTAAAGCTAGACAAAGGAGAGAGTTACGAAAGACAGACAGTTTTTAAGCACATAGTATGAAGACCAATTTGCTTTGAACCTTGACAAAGCCAAAAAGTGTCAAAAGAATGTAATAAGCGATTTGGTTTAGTGAAGGTACTATGGTTGGCTGTTGGCACCACTAATGGCTGGTAAACGAGCTTTCTCGGGGTTTCTTGTTAGCCAGAGAAAGGAACAAGATTAATGCTTTAATTGATTCTAATGTTGTATTTTCTTGCAAAGACACACAAGTTAACAATTTGGATTGGTACTGATTAGTTATTACCACACCTTCTAGCAAAGAAAGTTTTATTGATCTTTGAGTCAATTAGTTCAATTTAAACACAACTCTAATGTATAGAAATCAAAATGATTCCACAATGTTGTTGTATGATATCAAAATTTCTTCCCTTGAGCCAAGTTTACTCGAATCGCCCGACCCTCAAGCTCAAATCCGTCAAGCGATTCAAGCGCGGTCTCCATTTCCGCTTTGGAAGAGTAACACACAAAGCCATAACCCCGTGATCTTCCGGTATCTCCATCATACACAACTCTAGCTCCAACCACATCTCCACACTCTCTAAACGCTTCAGCTAATGACTCGGAAGTAACAGTCCACGACAAGTTACCAACAAACAGCTTATGCTCTGTTTCTGGATACAGAGGTTCTTTATTAGGCTTTGGTTTGTCAGCAAAGTTCACTTTCAAAGCCCGACCAAGATACTCCTGATAAATACCAATCAAACAAACATCAACCAAAATGTGTTTTTGCCCTTTTTGTGTGTTTTCTAATAAAGCTGCAAGAGACTCACAGTTCCATCGAGGTTATCGATGATGATGTTGCAATCTTCGACATTGCTCATGGTTACGAAGGCGAATCCACGACTCTGCCCTGTGTCTCTGTTGTAAAGAACCTCAACGAGCTCAGGGTTAGCGAAATCTTGAATGATTTGAGCCAGAGTTGCACTGTCAACATTGTAAGGCAAGTTACCAAAGTAGAGCTTAGTGTTAATGGCTGCAGGAGGATCAAGATCAACAGTAGTATCCTCCTCCTCCTTCTCTTCCTCTTCTAATTTGACGTTGATGGTCTCTGGCAAGACTCTGAAACGTCGTGAGCCGCTGCGTGAGGAGATCAAGAAAGGTTTTAGAGGTGAAAAGTTGAATTTAAGAAGTGTTTGGTTAGATGATTTGCTGCAGCCATGAAGAAGGTTTGGTTGATGATTGAGTTTGAAGCACGAGAGTGGTACTGTTGAAGCTGCCATTTCTCTCTGGACAGAGAGACAGAGAGATTGGCCTAAGACACAGACGATTCTGCCCACAAAAAGATTTCGGATAAGGCCAAAAGAGTGATTGGCCTATCGGCGGCTATCGCAATCTTTAGAATCAAGTGTTTCTGTGACTTGATAGGGGGTTTATTCCGGTTTGGTTATTTCGGTTTGGTCTGGATTTCTTTGGTTTCTGGTTTCAGAAAATATTTCAGAATAAATTGAGATTGGTAGTTGAAAAATAAAATAAAAAATACATTGGTATTGAGATTCCTACGTCATAAGTAGAAAGAAATAAAAATCAAATATTTTCTTAGAGTCTAAAAACCATTGGCTGGATTCGGTTGAATTTCTTTTGAGCTTTTTTATTTCAAGGAAATCTAAAATTGTTCGGTTCATAAAATATCGGTTCAATTTTCGGTTTGGTATGGGTTTGATGCAAATGTCCATCATTGTTGGTTTTACTTAGCTTTTCTTTGTTATATTAGCCAAAAAAAAAGAATTTATATATATACAAAAAATGTTAATCAGTTTGATTTTTTCATTCAAAGAAATACAAATTTCGAGAAAGTCTACTTTCTCTGTATGATAAGAAAATAACTCAATGATCTCTAATAAATTTGGTTATTTTCTTAAATAACCTTCCCATAAATGCATGAAAGGATGTGTACCTACCAATGATCAATCCAACTCAATGCAATTCTTACAACCATTTATACCTCACATACATCTAAATCAAATGTTTTAGTTCAAAAAAAAAAAAAAAAAAAAACATCTAAATCAAATGTTTATGGACTCATTTAACTAGTGTTTTTTGAATTCATTCCAAGAATTTGTGTAAACCATAAATGGCTCAAGACATAATAAATTGTAAACACAAACAAAAACATATGTTTTTTACAATCTTTTTTTTCCATTGATTGCTTCACATGGAGAACATATATACATTTACAGGACAAAAAAAGGGACTTAGTTCTTAATCTCTGCAGAGTTTTTTTTTTACATCTTAATCTATAAAATTTTCATCTCCTATGTAAATAATAACCAGAAATGAACACAAGAGAAGAGTTTATTCAATAATGTTTATCTCTCTTTCTTCTTCAGATTCCATCTTCTGATTGATCTTACACAGAGACTATGTTTCTTGTCCCTCACGCTAAAAACCAAACATCAACTCGTAGCTTCAGAGATGCTCTGCAATGATGGCCTCCATGTTTTTGATCTCGATGAAGCCGAATTCGTTAACACTGAACGTTGCTTCTCATCTTTCGTTTCCTATGCAAAAAAAAAAAAAAACACAAACCCATTAATTTTCTTTTATTTTTATATAAATTGTTACATAAAAGCTTACTTTAAACCAACCCCATATCTAATTACTTTAACAAATCGAGTAAAACTTGATTCTTTAAGCGAAAACAATATCTTAAATTCTAAGTATAGATTCCGTACCAGATTCTGATTCTTGTCGGATTCTTCATCAATCTTCTTCTCCGGCGACGGCTTCTTCTTCTCCTTACTCGTTTCACTTTGGTGTTTCTTTGTTTTCGCATACTTCTTGGCTCTTAAAACCTTCATAACCTCTGAAAACAAATCAAACACTCATTTAATCAGAAACCCATTATATGAACACAAACAAAAAAAAAATACAAAAAAAGAAAGAGTTATAAAAATACAAAAACAAACCTTGTGAAGTTATGAGACGATAAGCATGACCAAGTACAAGACTCTCCGTTGGTCGGAGAAGTTTCACGCGCGTGAACCTCACAACCCTTCTCTCAGTCTTATCATCCGTCGTCGTCGTCGTCGTCGGAATATTCTTCTCTGGCAAAGGAATAATAAGAGAAACGTAGTGACCAGGATACATACGCATGACTTCACTAACGGATATAGGACCGTAATATCTATCGATCTTGCCGTCAGGATGTTGTAGAACCAACGCCGCCGCATCAACCGCTTGACAATTTCCCATCTCTTACACACACAAAAAAATCTCTGTTCTTCAAAAAAATGTTATGATTAAAGAAAAAAAAAACAGAGAGTAGAATGAGAGAGTTGTGTGAAAGAAAGAGGAAGAGAGAAGAGAAGAGTCTCTTTCGGGACAGCGTGAAGAGTTAGGTCCACCACACTGGCTTTGCTTATAAAACATGTGAAACCCCAAAAAAATGTTATTATTTTAATTTTGGTTACTTTATGATGTTTTGTGATTATTTAATTGGACTGTCATTTTGGGAGTTAATTAATGATAAGAATAATATTGTTATTAAAGATTTGTAACCATATTGTTGCAGATTTGACTGTGGTTGCCTGAGACATCTCTGACGTTTACTTTATTTAATTTTGGTTATTTTTGGAGTTTAGAATTTAATGGAATAGAGTAATAGGATGGTCGGAAAAATTAAATAGTTGATTTGAACGGGTGGGTGCCGGCACCGGGGATCAGGGACCGATGATTTTGACATTGTTTTTGTTCTTACTGTTTAAAATAATTTAAGTTGTTGCATTTATTTTTCTTACTCGTTTTAGATCATGTGATAAGCCAATAAACCATAGTTTTTTAGCAGTTAATTATCGTATGTTGTAGCGTTTGACTTTTATTTAGGACTTGATTATACTACTCCCTCCGTTTCATAATATAAGTCGTTTTAGGTAAAAGCACGATGATTAAGAAGATCTATTTTTAAAAATTTAACCAATCATAAAAGAGACTACGTAATATAAATAATCATAAAATATTAAAGTAGTATATAATTTGCATTGAAACTCGAAAACGAGTAAAACAAAATTTTTTATCTAAAACGCCTTATATTATGAAATGGAATGAATACTACTATTCTACTACAAAGAATAACTTACCGTTCCAAAGTTACTAAGTTTCTTTTTGTGTGATCAAACAAAAAAACCAGTTACATAAATTGCACTTTCTAAACAAAATGTAAGGGGTCTTCTTCTTTTTTTTTTGAGAAATTGTTAATAATGCCCTGTTTCACACACCCTTTTTTAACATTGCTCCTTTTTGCTTGCCATTTTTAAAAATACCCCTTAATTAATTCAAATATGACCAAACTACCCTTGCTTTCATAACCTAAGATCTGCACGGTTCTCTCAACCATTCTCTCTCTTTCTCTCATTTCGATCGGCGACGATTTTCCGATCTCGATTCCGTTATCTCGATTCCATATCAAATCGGCGTCTCCTTTCGATTTCGCTTTCTATCGGTGGTAAAATCTCGTTGTTCGTTTTCGATTTGATCTGTTCGATTTCGATCGGCGTTAACATCTTTTTGTTCGATTTTGATTTCTCAGCGTCTCCGTCTCCGTCTGTGTTTTATTTCGATCTGTCCTACATCGATTCCAGGTTAGATTCCTCACTATATTTTAGAAGCTTTTTTGAAAGGTTTGTCTTTTGGAAGTTAGATTCTGTGGTTTGATTCTGTGGTTTAGATTCTGTGTTTCTGTGAAAGTTTGGTCTTCTTGAAGCTTTTTTTATCTCATTATTGAATATTGACTGATAACGCTTGATTTGACTGCTTGATTTTGAACTGTAGATTTTACAACATTTTTAAAGGTTCGTTCTTAACTTGTAAATGCTTCTTAATGCTTGATTTAGGGTATATCCTCTCTGATTTATTCCATTTCTTGATTTTATAATCGTTAACTGTGGAGTTTACAACATTTTTTAAAGGTTCGTTATTAATGCTGAATTATTCATTTGCTGTAATTTACAACCGTTTTAAAAAGGTTTTAAATGCTGAATTATTCCTTTTCTGTATTTTACAACCGTTTTAAATGTTTTACATTCTTGATATGGTTTTTATGCTTGGTTTTTACGCAGATGTCTAACAATGACTCATTGGATGTGCTTAACCTACCGCCCCGTATATATAATCCCGGGTTTGAACCAAACATTGGAGCTGTTGTTATTCAACATTTCGAAACGCATTTGGTCAAAAAAGTTGAGCTCGCACTAGGGGAGGAACAGTTTAATCTAATTAAAGCCTCTTTCCTTGGTCCTATTATTGAACTAGCAAAAAGAAGTGGAGTTAATTTTTCGGGGAAGATTTTCCACTTCTTGATGCAGCGAAGGTTGCTTTTAAAGGAGAAGAATCTCTGGTTCACATTTGACTCCCAGCCAATGCGATTCTCAGAGAGAGAATTCTTGCTTACCACAGGTATATCTAAATTAGTTTTGTTTTGTAAGTTTTTAATCAATTTACAATGTGTTTTAAAAGTTTTACAATGTATTTAAAAACATTTAACAATGTGTTTTACAAGTTTTTATAAAACTCTAATATCAAGATGATTCCCCACTCAAGAACAAGAAAAAAGTAAATACACTAAAAAAGTAAACATAAGTTCCTTTCTTATTGTAGTTATCTTTTTAAACCAGTATGTTATTTTGTAAAACAGTGATAACGAATGTGTTTATGGAACAGTTTATTAGATGAAGAATATTGTTAACTATTGCAATTTATATCCAGCTTGTTTCAAAGTGTTATAAAGGGTTTTACAAGGGTTTTTATAGGTTAATACGTTTTTACAAGATTTTTATAAGGGTTTTACAAGAGGTTTTAAAGTGTTTTATAGGTTTTTACAAGGGTTTTTGTAGGTTAAAAGGTTTTTACAAGAGTTTTTATAGGTTAATACAAGTGTTTTATAAGGGTTTTACAAGGCTTTAAAAGATTTATGATGTTATTTCTATAAGAAGGTTTTAAGGTTTTTACAATGGTTTTTAAAGTTTTTTACAAGGCTTTTTGTAGGTTAAAAGGTTTTTACAAGAGTTTTATAAGGTTTTACAAGGTTTTTTAAAAGGTTTTTACAAGAGTTTTTATAGGTTAATACAAGTGTTTTATAAGGGTTTTACAAGGCTTAAAAAGATTTATGATGTTATTTCTATAAGGAGGTTTTAAGGATTTTACAATGGTTTTTAAAGTTTTTTAAAGGGTTTTATAAGGGTTTTACAAGGGTTTTTATAGGTTAATACGTTTTTACAAGGGTTTTATGATGGTTTTAAAAGAGGTTAAAAAGTGTTTTTAAAGTGTTTTACAAGGCTTTTTGTAGGTTAAAAGGTTTTTACAAGAGTTTTATAAGGTTTTACAAGGTTTTTTAAAGTGTTTAAAGGGTGTTTTACAAGGGTTTTAAAAAGATTTTATATAGATCTTACAAGTGTAACAACTTTTTGAAAACGTAGTAACACCTTTCTCCAAGAATAAACGTAAAAAAGGTTTTATAACAAGTTATGAAAGTTTTTCAATAATATTTTTTAAAAAAGTCACAAAATACTTAATATGTTATGTAATAAAATAAAGTAAAAACTATATTGGAGCCACACAACTACTTTTGTTGTGTCCATTTTGACCACACCGACGACATTTGTAATTTGTTGCAGATTTTCCATACTCCCATCCACTAGGTATTCTCTTTTTCTTAGGCCTGCCACTAGGAACACGAGAAGATGGTGGTCGACAAACAAAAGCAGCAACATCGGCTGGAACCTCCCATTGTGTCCTATCACCAACGGGATATATACTCTCTGAATATGCTAGCGTCCAACTGTCAAACAAAGATGTAATTTTTAAAAATTGTAAGAGTTTTCAAAGGTTTGCAAGACAATCAGAAGGTTTTTTTAGGTCTTACAAGGTTTTTAGAGGTTGAACAAGTTTTTACAAGACATGATAAGGGTTTCACAATGTTTTTATAATATTTTACAAGGTTTTTTGATGATTTTGATAAGAAATTGATTTACAAGGTTTTTAATGGTTATAAAAAATTTTAAAATACAGTTTTATAACTTGTTTTATATAGTAACATACCTGTAAAGTTAGAATATGACATACCTTTTGTTGGAGTATAAGGTATCAACATAATCATATTCGTTAAGATTAATATGTTTTGCAGCCGCTATTGCATGAGCACACGGGATTTTCGTGATATTGAACACACAACACGTGCAGTCTCTTGTTTCCAAATTCACAACATGAACCAACGTACCTCCTTTCACTTCAAACACGTGTTGATTCACTTGTGACACTTCAAGCCAGCGTGCAGTAGAATCATACAGTGTCTTTACTTGCTTCATCACATTCACAGTAACTGAATGCCTATTACGAGTACCCTTCTCATGTCGTTCATTGAACCATCTGGTAAGAGTAGACCTAATTGTATCAAACAAACAGACAATTGGATACTCACGGCTTTCTTTCAACAGAGAATTCAAAGACTCAGCTAAGTTTGATGTCATAATGTTGTATCGATTGGCAGGTGCACAAGCACGTGACCATTTTTTGACATCCAAATCCCACAGATACTGTGCCATCTTGTTGTCAGCAAGAGACAGTTCATGGAACAACTGTTCAAAATCAAACCTTGTGTAAGCATAAGCTGCATCTTTCATAACTGGAATAAGCGTTGAGGATGACTTAAACCCAGTCTCAAGGTTTTTCTCCAAATGAAAAATGCAGATCCCATGATGAGCAAGTGGATAATTAACAATAAGAGCATTGGCAATTGATGATGCACGATCTGACACAAAAACTAAATCAGGTTCATCCGGGATAATTTTCTTCAAACACTTCATAAACCAGTCCCACGAAGCATCATTTTCTGAATCAACTACGCCAAATGCAATAGGATACAAATGAAAGTCACCATCTTGTGCTGAGGCACCAAGCAAAGTCCCTTTAAAATTTGATTTCAAATGAGCACCGTCAATACAAATCACTTTTCTCATCAACTTAAACCCTCTAATTGACGGACCAAAGGCAAGAAATGCGTACTTAAATTTGTTGTCAGGATCGACCTCAATGAAGGTTGCAGAACCAGGATTCTTCTCATTTACCATGTACATCCACATTGGCAAGAACTCATAACCATCTTCAGGTGTACCCCTAGCAACATCGATTGCATGATCTTTAGCTCTCCACGCTTTTGAATAAGAAACTCCAATCCCATTGTCGTGTCTGAATTTTTCTATCAGTTGTTTAGGTTTAAGCGCAAGCTTCTCTCCACGAAAATGATTACTTACCATTTCTCCTAATGTCCTAGCAGTTGCTTGGCGATGATTAACCTTCCTTAGCGAAGAATCACAACAGTGCTCACTAACATACTTTTTAATAATAAAACTATCTGATGCCTTAACCCTAGTTGCACGTAAC